AGGAATGTTTCTTTGCCTCACAAACGCCAAGTGTCAATAACATCCATAAACTTTGAAAGTTCATATTTTGTAGATCTCAAATTACAGGGAACAAATAATGTGTGGTTTGAAAACTAAGGTGGGAATTCTGGATTCTTTATGAAGATAGTTCTTCTGCAGATTGTGTCACTGCTTTGAGGAAACCTCAGCGTGGTTCAGTTATGGCAACAAATTTCTGAGAAATAAAATGGGTGGCACTGGTAAACTCCCAGAAACCAAGGGACATAAATGATAGTCCTGAAAAAGGGTACCTGGAGACAGCAACAGGATTAAAAATATGCAGCTAAAGAATTTATGTGCTAGAGGAAGAAGAAAGAAAAGGCTGAAAAACAACCATGGAGTGTCACATGCTGCACCACTGCAATGCAAAGTCCAGTGGAGCATTTTTGTGGTTCTCAGAATGCTGCCCTTCTATCACAAAGTCTGCAAGCAGCCACAGGCTCTTCCTGGACTCTTTGTAGAGAGTGAACCAAACACAGTTGTTAATTTGAACTTCCTCTCAGCTGAAGGAGAAGGTAAAAGGATGGCTTTGTGCTCAAAGCACAGAACCAAGATTTATTCTTGTTTCTGCCACAGTCTCCTTGCGCAACCTTAGGCCAAGTTATTCATCTCTTCATGCTGCTGTCTCCCCGTTTGTAAAATAGTTGATGGTCTGTATGTCACAATGAGTATTTGAGGCTAACATTTGTAAATTGTTTTGGGACATAATACTTGGAAGGACAAATTGCCAAATGCTGCAACTCTGAATGGGGTTATAGTAATTAGTGCCTTTTGGACACTGATCCCTTTCTCTGTCTAGTTTAATACCACAAGCTAGTCCATTTTAGTCTATGGTACCTTTGACCTCATTGGTTCTGGAATTGGTCTGGAACAAAATAATTTATTTCCTATTTGGTAGATATGGTAATTGCTGAAATAAAAATTCCCCAGACTGCCCCTTAGAGTACCCTGAGTTTACCCTTGTCTTAGGCTGTGTAAACTGGCCTTTCGAAAAGCCTGATTTTCAGAAACATAGTCTAACAGCTTATGCATGGAATAGACAAGAGTACCAGTGAAAGGATCTATTAAATGAAGGCTCATCCTGACAGATAGATATTGGCAAAAGTCAGAGACCTACCATGAACTGGCTCATTTCATAAGCATTGCCCATCAAACGCAGGAACTTCTTTCACATATCAGCTGTGACCAGGTGGTGTGGTGTGCTGCCGTGAGCAAATGTGTCTTTTGATAGGTAAACCACAGGTATGTTTTTCTAAGCAGTTATTTTTTTAGCTTTTCTAAATGTGTTTTCTTGTCACCACTGTGGGTACATCCCGTATGGCGTATCATTAATTGTCATGTATAACATGTCTGCTCTCCCTCTTATTGTTGAACTCCCATGTAAATACCCATGTGGTTCTTTGCTGCTATGGGACTGTCACAGCAGATGCTTTTGCTTTTTCTGTTGCTGTAAACAAGCTGTTGTGACTGCTACTCTTTTCACCGTATGTCCTGAACACTCCCAGTTCATAGTTATATGTCATTTCCAGGATGCTTTGTAGGGTGTGTATGCCTCCGCCCCATTTCAAAATCAATGTAACTCTCAATGGATTGACTAATGGCTGCAAGGTGTTACTTAGTGTGCTGGTTTTGGCTGACAGTGCCACTAAACCAACAGCTGTTTGCTTAACGTGTCTTTCATGGTTGCCATGTCAAGTAACTTTAACCGGCACATTGAACGTGCCGATGGCTTCAGGTTTGCTGGTAAGGATTTATCTGACTTGCTGCTGAGACCAAAAAGAAGTATGACCTCAACTTGTTGCCCTGAGTATTGATAATTTCACCCTGTCCTTTAGCCATATTCTATGTTTGGATTGTCCTCATACACTTTGTTATGGTGATCTCATCATCACTGCATCCATCATGAATCTGTGGAGTAAGAGTGGGTGGTGTTAACTGAAGAAAACTGTAATGCACCTGTAAGAGTGCTGTGCTGTTGCAGTGTATAAGACGTTGCAATTCCGTCCCACTCTGAGGAATTTTGACTGATCTCACATTCTCTTTCTTTTAATTTATGTTGTTTTAGACCATTCTCAACCCTGTTCATGGAACAGGATATGCAGCACCAAAGAGAAGATGCTTGTTATTATAGAGGGTGGACATGCCTTATTATTCACCTGTGTTGTGTTGACCTTCCAGAAGGTCTACCTGGCATTTCAGTAATAGCATACGTGATGGTACAGTATTGAGTGTGGTGAGGAATGAAGTCTCTAGTAATCATTTTAATGAAAGCGATCATCTGGAGATGAACAGAAACTGAATTTAAACTGTAAAAGTGAAAGAAGTTAAAATACAGGAAAGAATATTCTTTGAGCATCTCTCTGATCTGACTCTTTAGGTTTCTATATTCAGTGGTTGTCTGAGCTTACATCGTATGTGCAGCATTGCTGGACTAACCTCACAATGTAACGTGTTGCTATTGGGAATGTAGGAATATAGCTGGTGTTAAAAACTTTTTTTTTCTTGATCACGGGTGAAATTGCTCATGTTCCCTTTAGTGAATAGCATGCTAACTCTGTCAGATACATGTCAGCAAGCTGTGTGGTTATAGTTAGGTAGCTGACGGAGGGTTTTGTACAATTCTTCTCTTGAGGTTAGTACAGATGTCTATGTGCAAATTTTTTTAGCTCCACAGTGGCTAGGGCAAAGCTTATTCATGTGCAGCTTCTCAAACATCTGTTCTTTTTGCTATCATAACTACAAGTTACAGTTCCTGTTCTTTTTCTGCTCATATGGTTAAAAGCCTTTAATTTTGGATGTTGGGGTTGGGAGAACTGCTATTTGAACTAACATTGGCTATGCACTTCTCTTCATCTCTCACTCTCAGGGTATAATTGAAGATGATATGCTGGTGAATTTCTGTACTCAAATCTTCCATGAGTCAAGAAAGAGATTAAAAGTGCCTGATGTAACTATATCAATGTGTAACAGTCCCTGTGGAGAGGAAAAGATTATTATTGACATTGTCTTTGCTACAGATGAATGTCTGTGATGAATGTCCACATAATTTCTTTTTGTGTATCAGCAACTTAGAAGCACTTTGTTTGTTTGTTTGTTTGTTTGTTTTTAGTTTACACATCTGGATCTTCAATATGTTATCTGGCTGTAGTGCTCTCATTCATGATGAGGCCAAGTCTTAGGGACGGGTTGTTATTTGGGCTATGCTTGGGAGTATGGTGCTGTGTTTATACATTATTCTCATGTTTAAGAGGGAATGTCTATAAAAACAGCCTGATGGAGTTGTTGCAGAAAGGAGTATGTTTGCACTACATATTGTCCACATCAATCCATTATTTTATAAAGGATGGAATTTAAATGCATTTTTTATTTAGTTGCTGCTTTCTTGTGCTTGCATGCACCTGATGGCCAGATTTCTGGAGTGTGTGTGATTGCCCCCATTGCCCTGCACATAGGAGGTTTCCTTTTCCTTTGCTCCTTTTGTCAGCTCTCATGGGATAAGGACTGTACACTGCTGCTTAGCTTTATGCAGCAGTCTGAGCATCTGTGATGACATGCTGTTGGTCTTTCATAGTAACTGGGCTCCTTGGTACCAAGGTTGGATGTTGTGGTAGGTGATGTTTTCAGATGCCTTTGAAAACTGCATTTATTTTTTTTTATATTTCTTCTTGTCACAACTCACATCTGCCTAAAGCAGATGTGCCAAATTTGCTTTACTCATGGAAGAAATAATAGTTCTATGGATTGCTTTGCCTCGATTAAAAGGAAAGTTTTCTTGGCTATGTAGCATTCTATATGTCTGCAAAGTCCAGTTTTACATGAACATTTACTATTTCTTTGGCTTCTGAAATAAAGTATATTCCATAGGATTTTTAGGGTCTCTGTAAACTCTCAAACCTGTAAGTAATTTGATGTAGTGGGCCATTTTTCTCTCAATAGGCTTTTTTTTTTTTCTTTCACAATGAATAGTACCGTGATCTGGTGAGGGGCAGAATTTTATGTGTGGTTGGGGAAGAGCAGCTCAGCAGATGCAGTGCTTGCCTCCTTTGGTTTTAGATTGAAATGTTTTTTGCCATACATTTGGGGTAGAAAAAGTCTTTGTCTGGTTCAAAAAATGCTTAGCATTAAGGATTTGACAGATACCCACCTTCTTTCAGAGTTTGGGCTGTTGCTGACCATCATTGCATAGCACAGAGCCCACCACCTGTAAGCTAGCTGTTATGAAGACATGTTGAAAGTACAGTTCCTTAGAATGTAGTGTTGGCTTGAGAAACATAAGGGAAAACTCTATAATTATTGCATTTTGGGGATTCCCAAAGTTCTTTTTGCAAATTTTGAAAAATCTTAATACTGCTTATGTGATGAGTTCCCTTTTATTTCTATTCATTTATTCTTCAGATCATTCCAGAAGCAATTATTGTAAGCAAGTGCTTTTCAAGAAACTCTGTTTTTGCCTGCCAGGATGGCATAATGCTTCTTACTCACACAGCACAAATAAATTGAGGTGGTTTCCTTTTACACTAGCTATCTGTATTGCTTTTGCTGGTGTTACCAGGCTCATCATGCATGTACATTATAAGCTTCTGTAAAGCTGATTGAAAAGTGGTGAGAGAGTGGAGGTTTTTAGAAAATTCCTTAAAATGTATTTCTGGGTTTCAGTCATTTTCTCACTTTTTGGACAGAGTCATATTTGGTTTCATGGACATTCAGTGTTAGCACTGGTTGTTGTTAACATGTTGACCTTTACCACTCAGGGAAGTAAATTTGACTGCAAGGTTCAGTTTCCCTGTTGTTAGTGTGAGAAATGCCCTGTATGCAGCAACTGAGTTAAATGACACTGAGAAGTTAATCTCTATGTTTCATAGTTACTTTTACTGAAAATAATTACCTGGAGGGAATGGTTTCAGAACAGGCAACTTAACTGTAGTTAAAAGAAACTGAGATTCTGTTAGTGAATTTTTGCTTGATGTCTGTTCCTTTGTATTAAAATTTGTCATAATGAATAACATTTGATTTCTTATTCTTTACAGATAAAACGAGAAAAAACAGAAAACATACCAGATTTAAAAAATTTAGTAAAAGAAAAATTTACAGCACTGGAGAGCGAGAACAATGACTCTGATTTGCAAAGGAATGAAAAATATTTGTATTTTAAGGATCAACTTAAAGAAATGAGAAAACAATGTAAGTCTAATTTTTTTTAAAAAATAGATTCTCTGAATGCTAAATGGTAAGATGTGACTAACCATCCTAAAATATAGAACTTCCAGTTATGGCACAAACTGAGGTCTGTTCTTATTGAAAATCTTATTTAAAATGGTATCTGTGTAGAAAAAAGCCAGTGTGATTACCTCGGTGGCTTTATTTAGACTTCCATAGTTCCTGCCATTGAATACAAATATAATTAAAATGGTGCTTCACATTTTTTTTTTTTGGTAAGGTGGGCTTTTACATTTGAAGACTTTTTCCTTTTTTTTTTTTTTCCCCTTAATTGATAGGATCTTCTAAAAGGATTAGGTAAGCTGTTTTCATTTGTCACTTAAACAAATTGCTCCTGTTTCACAACTTGGGATGTGTTGTAACTCTAAGAAGACCTTTGCTTTAATGGTAGAACTGTATTGTTGGCAATGCTTCCTGTGTGTGTTCTCAGGCTTACAGCTCCAATGCATGCACTGTGTAACGCTGGAACTTAAACAGGTTTTTTGTAATTCACGTGATTTATCAAGTGTTAAAATATGAAGAAATTTGTGCTTGAATTACCAGGAAAGCTGGAGAGCGAACAGTTCTAGTATTTATGCAACTTAACAAAAATTGTGTGCTTTTATTGCTCTGCACATACAGCAGCCATTAAAATATCACTGATTACTGTTGCTGGGAAAGTTCATGAGCTCTAACACAATTTGTGCTGTTCTTCCCCAGTCATGACTATGTTTTGAAGTCATATTACTCTGCTTGCTGTCCCTTGACCCCTGTACCTATTCCCTCCCACCCTACATTTTGATTTCAATATAAACTGGTATCTCAGGAACTTCAGGAGTCATAGATTAATGATTTATACCATTAGAAAATGATATTCTGGATACTGTCCTGTAGCTCTCCTCGAGTTTTGTTTTTTTGGAGCCCTATCCAAAACCCAC